TGTAGGCAAGAAGGCCAATGGTTTCCAGGGGTTCACTCAGAAAAGTGTGGCCAGCAGGGTGAGGGAGGTTCTCCTCCCCCTCTACTCTGCCCTGGTGAGGCCACATCAGGAGTGTTGTGTCCAGTTCTGGGCTCCCCAGTACAACACAGACCAGGAACTACTGGAGAGAGTCCAGCGGAAGCTACAGAGATGACCAGGGGACTGGAGCATCTCTTTGACGAGGACAGAATGAGAGACCTTGGTCTGCTTAGCCTGGAGAAGACCAGACTGAGAGGGGATCTGATCAATGCTGGTCAACACCTAAAGGGTGGGTTCTTTGACGAGGACAGAATGAGAGACCTTGGTCTGCTTAGCCTGGAGAAGACCAGACTGAGAGGGGATCTGATCAATGCTGGTCAACACCTAAAGGGTGGGTGTCAAGAGAACAGGGCCAGACTCTTTTCAGTGGTGCCCAGCGACAGGGCAAGAGGCAACAGGCACAAAACTGGAACACAGGAAATTCCATCTAAAGATGAGGAAAAACTTGTTTGCTGTGAGGGTGCCGGAGCCCTGGGACAGGCTGCCCAGAGAGGTTGTGGAGTCTCCATCTCTGGAGATACTCAAAACCTGCGTGGACATGATCCTGTGCAACCTGTTCTAGGTAAAACCGCTTTAGCATGGAGTTTGGACCAGATGATCTCCATAGGAACCTTCCAAGCCCTACCCTTCTATGATCCTGTAAAAAAATAAGACAATAGTAGCAACACCAGCACAGGCAATTTCAAGAAGTATGTCTCACCCCAGATATAACACTCCTTATTTTGCTCTAAACTGGAAGCTATTCTTTATTTAAAAATCTGGGTGCAGACTAACAGAAGCATTAAATGCAGGGCTTGACAGAAAGTGTCAGAAATTATCATAAATAGTTTAATCTCAGCATTCTTACTATGTTTATGAGGACATGATGAAGTGCTAGGTCTCAGTTCCACAAGAGCAGTGCCAAGGAATTTCAGTGGTTTATTCAGCAAGCATGTTTTTTTGTCACAGGAGAGAGGAACATGCTGCTGTCCTAAGTTAATATATCCAATATATATATATAAGTTATATATCCATCATTGCTTTGAAATCTTTCAGATTCCAGAACTTTTGAGGAATGACACTCTTTCCTCTTTCTTCCTACATATCTGATGCACTTTGGAGACATTAGCTATAAACTGGAGGAGGATCTAGATTTATACTAGATATTAGGAAGAAATTATCTGGTGTGAGGGTGGTGAGACACTGGAACAGGTTGCCCAGAGAAGCTGTGGCTGCTCCTCCTTGGAAGTGTTGAGGGCCAGGTTGGATGAGGCTTTGAGCAACCTGGTCTAGTGAAAGGTGGCCCTGCTGATGGCAAGAGGGTTGGAACTGGATGATCTTTAAGGCCCCTTCCAACCCAAACCAAGTCTATGATTCTATGTTGAAATGGACCACTGAGGATGTGTCTTAATGAGATATTTAATGAAAATTATATCCTCACCTTAGCTTTGTGTTTCAGAAAACCATAAAAGTAGATTTATGGGAGAAAACTTACAGACTTCTAGTAGTAGCAGAACAATTTTATGGAATACCAGAAGGGAACTGTTATTGAATAGATTATAAACACTAAAATCTCTACAATTACAAAGCTCACCACATATTGTATGCTACTGGCAGGTATTCTATACCTCATTTTACCTTCAGTAATGTGGCCAGACACAAGTGCAGGGTTCTCACCACAGCCTCCTACTTCTTTTGTACACTCTTAAGTTCCGATATAACTGTAAGAGCAGCAGACAAAATTGAATACTCCTACAAGAACCCTGAGATTTAAGTGACCTGGATCGTGCAAGTAAACAAATCTGAAACGGATAAAGCATATCCCAACCATAACAGATTCTGAAAGCTCTCAAAATATTTAACCATCTTACAATAAGAGCTTTAAAAAGCTGGGAAAGAAACTTGAAAGTGAAGTAACACATTTATAGAGTATAACATTAAAAACAACTCGTGTACTTATGAAATTGCTCTCAAGTGAAAACATTGGTTATTCTCCCAATGCACAATTTTTAGCAGCTCTTAATATGGATCTCAAGGCAATCCTGCAGGCCAAAAAACAAAAGTACGAAGCCAAGTAAAATGTTTAACTTAGTCAATAATCATGATGTTATGTGTTATAGTAAAGACTGAGTATAGAGAAAACCTCACCGTAATTGCTCAACAGTTTATATTGGAGTTTGAAAAGGTGCTAAAGGACAGGTCACTGAAATACAGAAATTTAATAATGCCTGTTAATTGCTACATTCAATTCAGTTAGGAGCAGGTGATAAACATGAGCTATTAGTTTAGAAAGAAAACTGCAAGTTAAGACATTTAAGGTTTTCTATAGCAACTGAAGTCCTTTGAGAGTTGATAGGATTGACTCTCCAATAGCTGGGAAGAGAAGATCTCAGGCAGGAGCTAATCCTGAAAAAATCTTGCAGAACACAGGTAAATGGCCCAACAGGGATTCATATACTTAGCTAAACGTTCTCCTTTTCAGAAATCTATTGTGAAATAAAGTATTAAGGCATGAGGGTTTGGAAGGCTACAGCCTGAAGGACTAAACCTTCCAATCTGTCTCAGACAACAGGAAATTGGTTTAATCTTTATACACCCACACACAGGCAGTTCTGCTCCTCAGAAATTTGTTTTCCAGATATAAATGTTCTAGTTTGCTACCCTCTAAAAGTGATGTACAGGAAGGAGTATGAACATATGCTTAGAGAACTAAACTGAAGCAAAACAGATTAATGTTCTATTAGGTTACCCAGGAAATGTTTGGACAAGTTATTAAAAAGGTATCAAAATTAATTTGCAAGGCATAATTGCTCTAGTTCATATTTTATTGTGACAAAACAGGAAGCCCTCAGTGAGTTTAATTTTTAAGGCAAGTTATGTCTGCTGTCGTGCCAGAAGTCACCAAGCTTCAAAAAGAAATCAGACATTTCCAAGCATCCCCATCCTCTCAACTAGGCACATTGAGACCCTTCCATCTTCATTTGGACTATTAGGAATTAGTGTTAAAATATTATTTAAAATATTATAATACTTTGACAGCATACTTCCAAAAAGAAGAGGGGTTTTTTGTTTTGGGTTTTTTTGTGGTGTTTGGGTTTTGTTGGTTTTTCTTTTCTTCTTTTTTTTTTTTTAAACAGACTTCATGTTTTAATGTCTGTTTTAATAGAGGGAGCTACTTTCCACAAATTAATTTCCCCTCAGCTATATCCTTTGCTCCTTTTTCAAACCCTGCATATGGAAAAGCAAAGTTACTGGTGCTGCAAGCCTGACAGGATGAGAGCAGAGCAGCTGGCCTCCCACAGTCTTGCATTCCTTTGAGTTCTGTGGTTGCAGGCTACAAAGTGAAGCTTAACTAATAATTGCCACTATTTTCATATTAGAGCACCCAGGTGTAAAGACAGTGGGAAAACAGGCAAAATGCCAAAATGCAGGAGAAAGCATTCACAGAGTGATTTTAAGGACAGCAAGATAGTTTCCTAGTAGTACAATAACAATAGCGTAGCTACATGTTGAAAGACAATGATCACGGAACAAATGAAAAACCCTTCATTGATTATTAAATTGATTTATAGTAGATAACAGCTTACAGTGCTCTTTTTCAATTGATTAAAATCCTGTGTGTGAAAGCAAGCTATTTATTTTCTCATGTTTATCAACCACTCCTCCAGTACTGGCAGTAACTCCTCAGTGAAGCCACACTTGCTATCTGCAGTTTATTCCCATAACCAGCAGCAAAACATGAAAGACAAGTTCTCCAATCAGCAGCCAAAACTTACCTACAAGACACCTTCTTAAGTGTTTACAGCATTATTAAAAACCTGATCAATAGTATGTGCCTGCCAATAGACACAGAATGACAAAGCTCAACTACTCTTATTAAATCACAGAATTCCAACACAAGAAACTTCAACGACTGTCCCATGGCTGCTGAAAGCAGTAATAAATAACTTCAAGCTCCGTGTCACTTCAGGCTGTCCAAATCTCTTCAAGGTTTGGGGTTTTTTTTGTTGCTGTTAATTTGTTTTGAAGAAAGTCTATAACTACATTGACAACATACTTACTCTCGTTCTTTCTCTGTCAGTTTGTCATTGATATTATCTTTGATTGTAGACCGGGAGCCCTTGTGAATGATGGGATACCTGAGTGGCACTTGTAAGAAGTAGGAAATCATTGAAACCAAGTGAGCGGTGTAGCCCAGGGCAACAGCAATGCTTCCATCATCTTTTGCTGTCAATAACAAAAAGATGCCGTTATTTAATCAACTGGATCTCTCTGCAGGCTCAGCACAAGTTCACTCTTACTGCTTAGAAAACCATTCAGTTAATGAAGCTATTATAGAATCATAGACTGGTTTGGATTGGAAGGGACCTCAAAGATCATCCAGTCCCAACCCCCTGCCAGCAGCAGGGACACCTTCCACTAGACCAGGTTGCTCAAAGCCTCATCCAACCTGGCCACAAACACTTCCAGGGAGGGGGCATCCACAACTTCCTTGGGCAACCTGTTCCAGTGTCTGACCACCCTCACAGTGAAGAACTTCTTCCTAATATCTCATCTAAACCTCCCCTCTTTCAGCTTAAACCCATTTCCCCTTGTTTTGTCATTAACTGCCCTTATGAAAAGTCCCTCCCCAGCTTTCTTGTAGGCCCCCTTCAGGTATTGGAAGGCAACAAGACAAAGATCTCCCCAGAGATTGTTATAACTAAGTTATAACTATTGGAAGTTATAACTATTGGTTATAACTATAACTATTCCAATAGTTATAACTATTGGAAGTTATAACCTAATAGGTGCAAGTGTGAAATAAATTTAGAGTGTTTTACAATTGTTTGCAGTTCACTATACTTGTCTCATCCATCAAAGGGCAATGTTAAATGGGTGATGGCTTTTTCTCCTTCTAATTTTACACTTTCAAAGCTAAAAGTTACTCTTCTTAACATTTGGTTGTGTGGGGGAAGGTAAAAAGGAGATGGGAAAAGTGAAACAAAATTGCCAAGACCAAATTCAGGTCTTAAAACTTTCTTCATTTCTCTAGATGTAGCTGACATTTATGACCAGGATCAGGGAAAAACTAAATTCCTCCATAACTTTATTCTTCAGTGAGATCAGTTGGAGAGACATTGACCCCAGGGTATGAACTCTGTTCTCTGCCAATAACTGGAAGAACTTAGATTAACCCATTGTTTTAAAGTATTATTTTCAATTTGACATTTAAGTTTTCAACCTTACAGCTTCACCTGTTGGGAATACACACACGTCTTGTGATTCAAATTACATCCTTTAGCCATATAAGGGCTTTTCCTTTCTCTTTATCTTTCTTCTTTATAAGTGAACACACCAATACAAACAACATGATAAAGTCATCCCTTCTGAGATACAAGGGTGTCCTTGGAAACCAACTCAGAGGATCTTCTAGGAAAGCTTATAATGATGTTCAACAACAACTATGAAATCCTACTGAGCTCTATTAGAACATGACGTGATATGTGGATTTAAAAGTTACTCCCTTTTCAAAAAGGATTTTGTAAAAAGCATTTAACGTTTCCAGAAAAACTGGCTTTTTAAGGAATATTTCTTTTTATCCTTCAGATGCCTAATTGTTTTAAAATATTACCTACTAAGAGTCTTAAGTAAGATACATGTCAGACAGCTAGCCTTCAAATTTAACTGCATATTTCACTAACTTGCATGCTTAGTACTTCTTCCTTGTAACAAAATATTTTTAGAGACTTTGAGCAAGAACTAGTAATTCTTTTGTAAGGAATTAATACCAATAAACTGAAAATAGGCCAAAAGGTGCACACCACTGATTCCTCAAGAATTACCAAACTGTGTTCACAAAGCAAGACTGATTTTTGTCATACTGACAAATTAATTGGTTTTAAAGTTCATTCCTCCATTATTCTAGCATCCAATATCCATGTTGTTAGCACAAGTTAATACCTATGGGATGGCTTTAAGGAGTTAGACAACTGATTGAGGTTGTTGCCCAAGAACCACATGCCTTGCAGAGTGAGCAAGTACTGAAAGCAAGAAATTCTCAAAAAGGATTTTAATGAAGATCCAATTCCTATCAAATATTTGTAGATTAATGCATGCAGTTACCTGAACAACTTATTATATATTTGCTTCTGGAACAGGATGATTGTAGACAGTTAAAGCAGAAGCTGAGTTATAAAATACTCCATACTCTCAGGCAGCTTTAAAATCTTACTTATGGCAAGATATTTATTTGGTAAGTTCACTGGCAACTACAGCAAACTGAATAGAGATTTGTACACATCGCCCCATCGAGATTTATGGACTGAAAGTAGCCACAATGGAATTTTAGATCAGACACAAAATATTTCCCACAATCACTAAGTTTGGAAGGCAACTCTGGAAATTGCATAGTCCTAGCCCCCTGCTCAGAGCAGGGTCAGCTATGGCAGGTTGCCCAGGACTGTGTCCAGTTAGGTTTTGAGCATCCCCAAGGATGGAGTCTCCACAGCCTCTCTGGGTAACCTCTTCCAACATTTCAATATTGAGTTTTAGAATACAGAGGTATTTTTCTAAGAGTCAACACAGTAACTTCCTTTGTACTAGGCCAGGAACTACAAATAAATAATGCATCAGTTTTCTTCTAGTCTAAACTTTTCCAGTTGGAAATTTGTATCCTAAGCCATTGCTATCAGTTTCCTTAATTTCATGAAGTTTAGCAGCAGTGTCATCTTTAACAACTAAATTAAGAATATCCAGCTACCTTGAAAGTCTTCAGAATTAGGAAGCTTGACTCCACAAACAAAGTAATCCTTTTGATCATTCTGTAAGTTTAAAACCAACAATGGAAAGTGAGAATGGAACAGTAACATCCAGAAAACAGAAACCTGCACAAAAAATCCGATGACAAAGCATTTTCGTAAAGAAAAAGTCAGTATTCAATGAAACTCAGAGTGACTTTGATATAGTGTTTTAGTCCCCATTTCATATAATTCAGAAATAAATGCAACTTTTTTTAAAGAAGGAAGAGCTTCATCTTCTATAAAACGTTTTAGAGCTCAAATATTTGACATCTGTTTATGTGCACTCTGTTAAAGTTCAGCTAGCCTCCTGTCAGGGTTACTTTATAAATTGTAAACAAAATGGAAAGCATCCATTAAATTCCAGCTCCAGCTATTCTACTTTTATAGTGGAGACTATTTGAGAGATGCTGGCATAAGTCCTCTCCCCATGAGGTTTGCAATCTAAGGACCAAATCCAAGAAAAAGCTGGAAAAAACAGCATGAGTCAAGAGTAAGTTTCATCATGAATAAAACATGGTATTTGCTCACTGTGTAATAAATAGGAAATTCATTTCATATCAAGCAGATTTTTAGAATGTTAAAAACCTACCAGATCAATAGGGTAGATGTAGGATAGCTCTGACAGCAACTGCTTGCATCGAATAGTCTGCTGGGCATTTGTCTTCAAAAATAGTTCTCTTTAGAGAAAAAGAGATTGCAAAACCATTAGTTTCTTCAAAAGCTTTAAGTAAAGGTATCAAATCTGATATCCCTTCTGCATCTTCCCAAGTATCAGCTCCTTCCCCCAAAAAGCCAGGTAATTCCTCATTAAAAAAAACCAAAACCAACCCAGAAGAAAAAGTTTTCGTGTTGAGTTGTACCCCATACTATAGGCGTATTTTGACTCTGACAATTAAGCATTACAAAGCTGTGTTACACTAAAATAGACCTTTCTACACCCAATCATAGTCCACACGTGCAATCAAGCATCTCTTTTCTTCTCTTCCAGACTCGCCACTGTTAATTATCACTTCAGATATCTACAAATTGTAGCAGAGATGTCCTAACAGAAGTTTTGGGGCAACATTAAGAAGAATTTGGTGCCAAAAGACCCATTTCAAATGCCTTACTCTCAAGTTTGCATTTCCTTTTCAGCTGCAGAAAAAACAAAGATCCTTTTACCTCTTAGCAGTGCATTCCTTTCTTAATTCATGCAGGGATTCATTATGCTCTTGAAGCTTCTGGTATTCAGTCTCAAATGCATTTTCTAAACAACATGAGGAATCAGGAAAAAAATTAGTATCATATTTTCTTACTTATCTGATGTTTTCAAAGTAGATACTGATACCTATAATAAATAAAAATAATAATAAACCTATAAACCAATAAACCTCCATTTATTGGCAATAAACCTCCATTTACTCTTAGTGTCCATTTTCCATGTTCTCCTGCCAAACTGGGGAATGACAGCACAGGAGGAACTCAAGTCTTCACGCACTATACACCATTCACCAGCCAAATCCAACCAACAAAACCTCATTCTCCTTTAACACCTCTTTCCCCTCGTGTCCACAGCAGTAGAGTTAATTCAGTTAAGGCATCTCAATACTTCCACAGCCAGAATTAAGTAAATGGCAAAAAACCCCCCATTTTTAGTAATGACAAATTCATTTAGACTCAACTAAGTACTAAAAAAAAGTCCTGCAACAAGATGAAACATCGATGTAGCTTGGTCTCTAGGGAGCTCCAAAGAGACAGTGATGTAGCATTTTACATTAGGACATTTTCCCAGTAAAATAAACGTCAAGACGACAGAGCATTTCACCTTTCACTTATGTAATACACTATTAAGAGGGATTTTTGTCTTCTAATAGTTAACATGGGATCCTAATCACAGGCACAATAACATCCCTTATGACATTCTAAAATGCCTGCATTGAGCCACTGTTTACTGCATTACAGTAAAGCTCTTCTGATTTCCTCAGACAATTTTAATTAAGCACAGATTTAAGATTGCTTTAGAGAGGTGTCATATTAAGAAGTTATTTAGAGACAGGATATCAGAAATTACTGTCCAGAATTCAGTATAACACAGATGGTGAAGAAATTTCATCTGGCTGCAAACTTTAAAGAAAAATACCAAGCACATTCGAGCCAGACCAAAAAAACACAAAAGAACACCTTGATTTTGGTCACCATGATTATAATCTAGGTTACTACTCTTCTGATCAATGGATTATGGATATCTGCAATAGAAGCAGTAGCAATTCTACACTTACCTCTGTCTTGCAATGTATTTTTTTCTTTATGCAACAAGGCTACTTCTTGACCAAGGGCCTTCTTCTGCCTCTCCAGTTCATTACGTAGCACCAGGATCTTCAACTGTAAACATTCACTCTCCTTTTTCTATTAGAAGAAAAACAGTTTAAAAAAAAAAAACCAAAAAACAAACTTTTTCTGTACACAAGCAGTTCTAGAAAAGGAGGGAAGGAAAAAATAAGACTAATGTTTGCCAGACTAATGGCTGAGCTCATCGATTACCACAGGCAAAAGGTTACCAAAGACCCTACTCATTTGGCTGCTTTGGAAGGAGAGAAACTCAGCTGTGTCCCACAGTGTGTGTTCCTCCTGTGGGATGCATCTCCTCTCCTGTGTTCAGTGATGCAACCTGGTCCAGGGCAGAAATTAGGAGAGAAAGGAGAGGTGGGAAGAAGCTTCCGTGGGACAAGTACACGGAGATTAATACCAGAGCATTCAGAGTGTGATGAACATTCCCTGGCAAAGTGGTCAGCAGCAAGAGGGAAGATGAGCAATGAGGATTGTACATTAAATTGAGGCAGGGATGTGGGAAAGGCTAGAAATGTCTGAGCTGCACTATTAGATCCAATTCCCAGCTTCAGGGTGATGAGAAAAAAAATACAAAAGGAAAGAACACATAGCAGGGAGCAGGTTATGTCATTACACACAATGTTATTTGAAGGATCCCTTCTTTAAAAGTTTTAGGATTTGTCCTGTACCTACTCTAAACCTATTCTTGTGTTTAAAGTGATTTTTTTTTCTTTGATGCACTGTCTCCACTAAGAAATTATGCTGCCACGTGCATAGCAAAGCAGAATTTTCTACTATGCGTGTTTTAGGAAGGAATATCTACCATGTTTAATAGATACTTATTGAGAACAACTGAAGACATTCAAAATGGAAAAGAGAAGTTACATTTCTTCAGCTCAATCATACACCCAGCAGAGTTCAAAGCCTGAGGGGACAGTCAGACACACTTGGGAGTAAGTCTTGTGTAAGTACTACCAGACATTGTCACTTTGTATAACTCTGACAGCTTTCATTTTTTCAAGCAGTTAATGGACATAGTGTTACTTCAATCCCAGCTGCCTGAAAAGAAGGTGGCTCTCGCTGAACTCTTCCTTCCACTTCATATTTGCTTCAGTTCCACATGTACACTCAGCCTCTGGTTCAAGATTGTATGGAAACATGACTCAATATTAAGGAATGAAATTATAGTTCACACACTTACAAAGGGGAATGGAAGCCCAACAAGAGTTTCCACTATTGAATAAAGGAAAAGAAAAATAGGTAATCATTTCCTTTTATCATAGATCATGGTTGCTAAGAAGTTGCATTACATGTACAGTCATTGTCATTTTTGGTTTTAGTGTTCTTCATATAGTTTTGCTTACAGATATTTATAAAGGAAAAGCCTTTGCATAGAGGGATGAGGATATCCATAACAACAATGAAAAAAAAGATGGTTAAAAACCTTTTAACAGCCAAGACACTAGCAGAAAGCAAAGAAGCTCTGGGTTGGAGTCACTCACAGGAGATGTTCTATTGCCCCTTAAGGGAGCTGACTACTTTGCTTCTTTGTCTACAATGCAACCCTGTAATTAGAGCAGGTAAAAAACTTCCCATTTTTCAATTTTATCAAACCAGTTTGATGCTTTTGGAAGTTAGTTGAGTGCTCTCAACTCAGAATTTACTTTAAAGTTCACATAAGTTTGCCCTTTCCTATACAAGGCACCGGACACGTGCCAGTGGGTACCAATAGAATGAAGTCACCATGAGCCACCCTTGTTCTGTCAACTCATTGCTTTGAAGAGAGTTCGGTCTTTCTGGGCAGAAAGTAAAAACCAGTGCCAGGACACTTTATTTTTGGAGAGGGGAAGAGGACAAGCAAAACAAACTGTCAAAAGCTATTGCAAGATCAAATATGATTTCTGCTTAAAATGAACGTGTCACTTGAGTGACAGCTTTTGCATGAATTCTGTTCACCCAAAGGGAGTAGGGGTGCAAGAAGGTAAAGCAAGTAGACTCACCTCACTCTAAACCCACCACAGGTTCCCATCAAGATTTATCTAAATCATTAAATGTTTTTTTTCCTGATAAAGCTCTTCTATGCACTGTGCAATGCTTATGGTTTTATAGTATAAAAGCAATTATACAAAGTAAAGGTAAAAATAGCATAAGTTATCAATCAATCCATTCAAGTAACACACACAAATCTAAAATCCATTCCATTACACTTCTCAGATGAGTTCCCATTAGAAATGACAGGTTTAAATAAAAGATTTCAAGTTCAAGTGCTAAAAAAACAAGCTTATGGTCAAGACAACAGCCAGATGCTTCAGCAAGCCTCTAGAATATAGTTTCCAATAATCAAACTTACCAGTTCATTGCTTGTAGATGTACATCTCAGCTTTTCTTCAATCTCCCTTCCTATCTTCTGAACGGTTACCTGAGTCTGTTTAATTGCACACTGGGCTCTGTGAAGCCTGTAAGGAGAAGAGAAGTTACAGTTGTACTAAAGGTTCCTCACACATCTCCTAACAATGAATGCACCCCAAAACCAGCAGCAGTAACATGAATTCAAATTGCCAGCTTCTATTTTGAAATAAAAAATTAAAAGATGGTTCAACTTGCACAGCCTATAAAAGAGCATCCAAAGCAAACCTGGAAGTCTCTGAATTCAATCAAGTACCAAATGTCCTTTCCATTTGTTAAATTCAACAGATGCCAATAAAATACAGCTGTGGATGAGAGAGCAGGTAATGACAGAATCCCAGAATTGCCTCAACTGGAAAAGACCTTTAATATCATCGAGTCCAGTCATGAACCCAACACTGACAAGTCCCCAACTAACCCATGTCCCTCAGCACTGTGTCTACACGACTCTTCAATCCCTCCAGGGATGGGGACTCCACCACTGCCCTGGGCAACCCCTTCCAATGCCTCAGAACCCTTGCAGAAAAGACATTCTTCCTCACATCCCATCTCAACTGCCCTGGCCACAACTGGAGCCCATTTCCTCTTGTCCTGTCCCTTGGTCCTTGGTTGAACACACCCACCCCCACCTCTCTCCACCCTCCTGACAGAGCCACAAGGTCTCCCCTCAGCCTCCTTTTCTCCAGCCTCAACACCCCCAGTTCCCTCAGCCACAAGGGAACTCAGCACACTTGTGCTCCAGACCCTTCCCCAGCTCCGTTCCCTTCTCTGGACACGCTCCAGCACCTCCATGTCCTTCTTGGACTCAGGGGCCCAACACTGAACCCAGCACTCCAGCTGCAGCCTCACCAGTGCCCAGGACAGTGGGAAGAGAACTTCCCTGCTCCTACTGGCCACACTGGTGCTGATCCAGGCCAGGAAGCCAATGGATTAAAATTAAAATTGCAGGGATCTCACGTAACAACGTATAACACTGTTAACATCGAGACAGATACACATATGACACTTTCCATGAGCATCATTCCCATAGGTCAGCATTAAAGAAGTGCCAAGTATCCTTTGGATAACACACAGCTCCCCAGGTCAAGAGCACAAACTACAATTCTACTGCTTCAAGTCTTAGTTGAATTACATTTGAAGCGCAAAAAGATGATAATTATTTGTTTCTGATCATTCAGGATGAAGAGCAAAAACTGATTATTTGCCTTATTAATTGAAAAAAAAAAAATCAGGCAGAGGAAAGCAATGGCAAAAACAGGTCTGAGAGAGGCATTAACATATCTCTTTAAATTAACATGGAGTGGAAATTAACATATTTATTATAAAAAATGAGAACCCCTACTTTCTACCATGGTCTGCAGATACAGGCTATGTCTTTTAAGGCATGCAAACCCAGACTTACTTTTCCCATTCATAGTTTCACTACTTATTGCTTCTCTTTTTGTAAGGATATTCTTCAGGCAGCCTTGCTGCTGGGATAGGTACTTAACTGAGGTCTAGTCAGAACAGCAAAAACATGGTCAGGGAACCTAATGTACATTAGTGCTTTGCCAGGAAAACATAGTAGGTCGAGAGAGGTTCTCCTGCCCCTCTACTCTGCCCTGGTGAGGCCACATCTGGAATATTGTGTCCAGTTCTGGGCCCCACAGTTCAGGAAGGACAGGGAACTGCTGGAGAGAGTCCAGCACAGAGCCACCAAGATGATGAAGGGAGTGGAGCATCTCCCTGCTGAGGAAAGGCTGAGGCTCTTTAGCTTGGAGAAGAGGAGACTGAGGGGTGACCTCATTAATGTTTATAAATATGTAAAGGGTGAATGTCAGGAGGATGGAGCCAGGCTCTTCTCAGTGATGCCCAATGGTAGGACAAGGGGCAATGGGTGTGAGCTGGAACACAGGAGGTTCTGCTTCAACTTCAGAATAAACTTCTTTCCAGTGAGGGTGCCAGAGCCCTGGGACAGGCTGCCCAGGGAGGGGGTGGAGTCTCCTTCTCTGGAGACATTCAAAACCCGCCTGGACGCCTTCCTGTGTGATCTCATTTAGGTTCCTGCTCTGGCAGGGGGATTGGACTGGATGATCTTTCGAGGTCCCTTCCAATCCCCAGCATTCTGTGATTCTGTGATATTGAAAAGACCAAGCCTGTTTCAATGCATGTTTTAACGACCATCTCCACTTTGCCAATATAAAAAAAAAATATCTCCCCCTCTTCATAGAAATTCTTAATTTTACTAAAGGAAGGCTGCAAATTTGCTGTGACCCAAGGAGCAATGCACTAAAGCGTATAGAAGAGGCTACTCAGCTCCTTCCTTTTACATTCTCTAATCTCTTCCAGATTTATATCAATTGAGGCATTGTTATCTAAAGTTTGTGGTAACAGTGTTTAATGGTCTGTATGTAGCTAGACTAAGACAACCAGGCTATGTGCTTCAGGTCTGAAGAACCACAAAGCATTATTCCTTCTCACACCATCCCATCCTATCTCATCCCATCTCAACAGCACAGGTTACATATTGGTTCGTCAGTCCGAGGACAGAGCGTAAACCACCAAGCTCACCAAACAAAAACACAGAGAGGAGATTACACATGGACATCAGGGAACAAGGAGTACTAGTTATATTAAATAAGGTCACTGTGATGAAGGACTTTTACATATTATAACTCTAAGTGTATAGATTTAAGTCATCAGACACAGAATCACAGAATGGTGGGGTTGGAAGGGACCTCAGGAGATCATTTAATCCAACCCCCCTGCCAATGCAG